AGATGTAGCAATGTTATGTCGATTTATCAGGAGAGGGGATTAGGAGCTCTAATAAGTTGCGTCTGCCATGTTCCGACGACACTCTGTCCCCCTCCTTAAATGCCTCTCTTTTTCTAGTTCCCCCTTTTAAATCTACATTAAGGTTGTCTCTGTGCAGTGTAGTAGCCCCTTCCCCCAGCTAGCCAATCAGCCTGACTTCAGTCTGGTTTCAGTTTCAGGTGGTAGCCATTACTTGTGGGAATTTTGCTGCACAAAATGTACTGAGTGGTGGGCTGAGAGTCTCACCTTTGTTGGGCAGGGTGGCAGCTGCTAGCACAAGCAGTGGCATTTTGGTGGGAGTCACTTCAGAATAGGCCTTTGTAGTTAAAGGCAACTGGGCTTTTAAGTGCTAGCAGTTGCCAAAAAATTAATCCCAACATTGTTAAAGAGCTGTTATTAAAAATAAATAAATAAATATGTGCAATGTGTGGTTTTGTTAAATTAATAAGGTTTTGTCGAGTTCGTAATAACATTTGGTATTGTTGGTTAAAGGTTTTGTGCAGTAAGGATTTGGTAACATTAACTGGGGGTTTTTGCTTCAGAAAAAAAGGGAGTTCCTGTATTGTTAAAGAATTCTTGTATAGTTGATAAGGTTTTTTTCTTCATAGTTGATCAAGGGTTTTTTCCCCATATAACTTTATTAAGTAGTTTTTCTTCTGCATAGTTAATTCTGTATAGTTAAAAGTCTTTTCTGCTAAAAGGTTTGTTCTGCATAAAGTGATTAAGGGGTTAAAATTATGGTTTTAGCCGGGATGGCTGTAATAGCATTGGGATGGAGGGACAGGCACAAATGGACAATGGAAAAATGGAATAATTATGTCTTTGAACGCGTACAATCAGATATATTCGCACAGATAATTACTGAAGAGACATGGGAAGAGAAATGTCAAAAGATTACAAATAAATGGGTGGGATATAAGGAATGGGTGGAAAGGGGGGAAGCCAATCCAAATATCCAAATACAAATGAAGAATTTGTGCACATGGTTAAAAATATGAAGATACTATAAGGAGGGAGGGGGGTAAAATGATTGTACAATGATTTAATGTAAGATTATGTATATAAGCTTTAATAATAATAAAAAACTTAAAATAAAAACATGCTTAAAACATTTAAAAAAGTGATTAAGGGGTTTTCTCCATAGTTGATTAGAGGGTTTAGGTATAGTTGGTTTTGGAATTTCTATATAGTGGTGTTGAATACACACACTAATTAAGGGGTGTTGGCACAGCTAATTATTGAAGGTGCACCACAGTGCTTGTATAATAGATTATAGGTTGCATTTAATTACAGAGTTTGAGCATAACTGATAAAGAGCTTTGCATAGTTAATAGTTCTTAGGTATTCAGAGTTAATGTATAGTCAAAAAAAGCACCAACAAATTAAGGGTTCTAAAACAAAAATATTTCAAAGGGGGTGCTTCTGGTCTAGTAGAACTGTCAGTGGAGCAGAGAGGCTGGAGTTCAAGTGTAGCTCCTCAGGCAACTAATTAAGCTGTTTCTTTGTAAAAGAAGGGGGTGCTGCAGGAGAGAGGTGGACCTGCCAAAAGGCAGCCCCTGCCAAGAGACCTCCCACACAGCTATCTTCCAATGAAGAAAGGAACCTAATATGCTAGAGTTGGTGGTGCAAACTGAGGGCCTTGGGCGGGGTGCCCAGCAGCCTAGTTTTTTTACAGGGCAGGAAAGCATTGGGAAAAGGTCAGCAGAGAAGTGTTGGGACAACTGGCTCACCACTTACAATACTTATATGACGGTGGTGGTTCAAGTGCAGCCTGAAACTGCTTCAGCCTTGATAAAGTATATGGAGTATACTGGAAAACATCAGCTATGTTATGATGAGACTTTCAAGATGAAGGCAGCATTAGACTCTGAAGTGGCCTGATATGAGGACAATCAACAGCTCTGATGCCAATGCTTGGGTGCTGTTCCCTCCCTCACAGGAGGATACTCTGATAGTGGGCAGGAGGTGGCAGCAACAGGCAGTCAGTTCAACCAAGGCTGTTTTGTTGGGATTTCAACACTGCCAGGGGATGTTCCAGGAAGCAATGCCACTTTTGTCATACATGCAATTGGTGGAGTGGAAGCCATACAGGGTCAGTATGCTCAAGGTGTAGAAGAGGACATGGCCCTAGTGACCCTTGGGGGGGGGTTAAGGAGGGAGGCACTGGTAGAGGATCATCAGTGGGCCCTCAGCCCAATATGGCTTGATACCCTAAACTTTGGTAGGGTAGGTACCCCAATAAGCAGGATGTGGTGGCTGGGAAGGTTTTAGTGCTGTTTTTCATATTTGTTATTCTGGTCCACAATGCTTCTACAAAATTAAGACCTTGAAGTCAGTCACAGGCCTTGAGCATGCGGTTAGAGATAAATTACTAAAGGATAAGCATGAAGGTAGAATAATGACCCCCTGTAACCTTGTCAAATAACAATTTGAGGATCTCTCCCCCCAGTGTAGTGCCAAAGAAGGCCCTGGAGGAGTATGGGCTTATATACTATTCATCATATCCTTGGAGAGAGTTGGTGAGTGATGGTATACAAGGAGAGCTATGATCAATTCAGTATGCATCCTTTGACTCAGCAGTAGGCATGTTTGATCCTGTGGGATGAGAGCCTGTCTAGGAAAGTGTAACATAAAGTCCACTTTCAGGTTTCTTCCTCTGCATCTAGTGGATTATGAATTGCTGGGTTTTCAGTTCAAGGGGCACTTTAATTTTGATAACACTCTCCCCATATCTTGTAGAGCTTTTGAATATTTTACCACCATGTTAGCATTCATTCTGATACAGAAGACCAGTTCATTTTAAAATTACGCATTATTTTGATGACTTCTTGTTTGCTGGTCCCAGTAACTCTGGGGAGTGTGCCTGGCTCATTTATGGGGAGCTGGCTGAGGAACTCAGGGTTCCTCCGGCAGCTGAGAAGACTCAGTGTCCCTCACGAGGCCTGGCATTCTTGGGAACTGACATCGATACTGTAGCAGAGGCATAGTGTGTTCCACAGGATCAACTGCAGAAGTATAGGGCCCTTTTATGAAGTTTATGTTCAAGCAGGAAGATCATCCTTAAGGAGGTGCAGTCCCTCACAAGGCATCTAAACATCAGATGCCACCCAGAATGTCAAGGAACCCCATCACAAGATTAGGATTACAGGGCATATGAAGGCTGATGTTTCTGGGTAGCTGTGTTTTTTTTTTAAAAAAAGTTTTAATGTGGTATTGTCCAGTTAATGTGTGAGGCTGTCATGTGTACTGGGCTAGAGTGGTAAATGGTTCTAAGTTCATTAGTGCTTTGGCACATTTGTCTCTACAAGTGGCAAGTTTGACCTTGGACTGATTACCACTTGTATGTTTTCTAAAGTGGAATGTGATCTCTGTACTCAACGAAGCACAAGAGTATGCATATTACAGTACAAAATGTCAAGTGAGAATCAGCCAAAATCTTGTTCATATACTCCTGCTAATTTCAGCTGACAGAAAAGAGTCTTCAGTTGTAGATCCCTGAGAATCACTGTAAAACAGATTTTGGGAAAGCTTACACAAAATCTACTTTGATTAGGGAAACAGGAGAATGTTCTACTGTACCCCGTATTCCTCCTTAAAGGGCTCAAGGTGTGTTGCAGTGTCATTTAACAATACAAGATCAAGAAGACTTATTGTCTGATACAAATCAGTATAACTCTAAAATGCATTTTCCAAATTTTTCAGGTCCATTAATCCCTATGGGGAATGGCTGGGGGAGATGTTTTCAAAGGTACGGTTGTTTTTAAAGGTTTCTGGGTGGCTGCGGGAGTTGTTTTTAGAGGTACTGGCACCAAAATTGCAGGAAAGCTGCTGGTGCCTGTCCTTGAAATAACCTCAGGCTTCAAGTCAATTAGATCAAGAAGTCCAATTTTATGGCCCCCTGAACAGGGTGCCCCCAGCTGTTCTCCATTATTTCCTATGGAGGGGGGGAAGAGAGGAAAAAAGCCCTGTAAGCTGATTCCAGGGCAAAAAGCCATGCCTGTAAGTAGCAGTCACTGAGAACAAATAGTAAGTCCAACAGAACCATTGCAGAGCTCAGCAATCCCAGCAGAACCACAAGCCAATGTGCCAAAGCAAGACAATCTCTGCAGTACATCCTGAAGGAGGGACCATTTTTGCAAGCCCAGCAAAACCAGTTGCAGTGTACAGAATGCCCAGCAGAACCAGTGCCACTGTGGCAATGGAAGCAAAAGATGACTAATGTCAAACAAAAGAATATTTGCAGTACAAACTGAAGGTGTGTGTTCGGGGGCATTTTTGCAAGCCCAGCACAATCAGTTGCAGTGTACAGAATGTCCAGAAGAACCCAGCGCCACTGTGGCAGTTCAAGATTAACAGGACTGATGCCAAGCCTCAAAGCATGGAATCAGAACAAATCCAAAGAAGCAAGGGGGGGGGGCGGATTGTTGCAAGCTCCATGCAAGAAACTGGGAAGGGAACCCAAAGGACAGATGGCAAAGAAAAAAATGCTTGTAACTTACAAGACTCATTTGAAATTTAGAAAAGCAACAGAGAAGCCCATAGAAACCCTCCATACACAGAAACAAAGTGTGTGTATGTGTGTGGGGGGGAGAAAATGAAAGCTGGCTCCTGATCTTCCTGGTAATTCCTGAATATTTCTGGGATGCCGAATATACCCAAAAATTACCAACAATATATTTTTGGGTATATTTTCAGCTCATGTTATCCTTAGTGTAGATAAGTGTGATCAGATTTGCTGAGGCCAAGTATGGGGCCAGTAACTGTGTCACACATAGATGGTAAAACATGTTATAGGATTTAACAACACTCCCAGACTTCTAACAAACCTTTTCCCCCTCAAAAGCTGAAAGCATTCAGCATTCTAGGCCTTCAGCCATACTTAGAACTCAGATCTTGATGAAGCCTATCTTGCAATATGAAGAAAATTAAATATATGATAGAAAATGCTAATTCACACTTACAGGCAGTGAATAATGGTTCTACCTTCTCCTTCTTCACATTCTTCTTGCCACTTTTCAACCTGAAGAATTAACTTCAGGAATGACCGTTTGGAACTTGGCACATCCCTGTGAGATGCCCATCCCAGATACTGGAACTGCTGTACCATCAAATAGCCTTCTTGAGGCTGGTGAACATAAAGAAGCACATATTAGTACAATTAATTTAAAACAAAGAATAGTAACACAAACCAAAAAAACCCCACCTTGTCAGAAACTAATAAGGAAAGAATGATTTAGAATGAAGCTTCTGTGAATGGGACCAGAGATCTCAAAAAGCTGCTGCAGAGTGTCAAGGGAGTGCTGCGAACAGGGAGATAACAGGGAGCTTCTAGGAAAAGAAAACAGTAAAGATCTGCTTTTGTGATCTCCTTCCATTTACAGAAGTTTGGATCCAATCTAGTAACAGTGTCAAGAAGGGACAAAACTGCAATAAACTACTTAGTGTTTCCAAGACATTATTATTAACCTGGCTAATTTGGGGAGAAATGGCTTGGCAAACATACTGAATGAATGCAAATAAAGTAAGAATCAAAATATGGCCATGCACATTATGCACAACGTTGGATCCACCGTTATTGCCAAAACCTCATTCCTGTTACAGTCCCATAAAAAACAGTCCCCTATGCCACATTGTTCTGGGGCATCCCTGACACTTAGGAAAAGCACAGAGAGCTGCTGTGAGGAGATGAAGGAGAGAATGCCGACTGGAGCCCAACGGCAGGGCTTCTCTGCCAGTCAGAAATATATTCCTTACCCTTGTTAAATTGCATATCCTGAAAATTCTGTTTATTACATCGCAATCCATTGAACAAGACATGCATTCCACCTGAATGGGACCATATCTCAACATTCCTTCTTCGGGCCAATATTGGGGACAGCCCTGAAAAACATATGAAATTAGTGTATTTAAACTGTAACAAGCATTACAAATTGCATTACTGTATCTATTTTTGTTAATAATAATGACTTAATATAATAGGTACACTGAACTAAAAAAAATGGAGCTGCGGTGGCTCAAGTGATTAAGACGCTGAACTGCAGGCTGTGGAAGGTCAGTAGTTCAGCAGTTCGAGACCCAAGTGTGCCGCATGACGGAGTGAGCTCCCGTCTCTTGTTCCAGCTCCTGCCAACCTAGCAGTTCGAAAGCAAGAAATTGCAAGTAGATAAATAGGTACCACTTCGGTGGGAAGGTAACAGCATTCCGTGTGCCTTGGTGTTTAGTCATGCCGGCCACATGGCCACGGAAATGTCTTCGGACAGCGCTGGCTCTTCGGCTTTGAAACAGAGATGAGCACCGCAACCCTAGAGTCGGATTCGACTGGCTTTCGAGCAAGGGAACCTTTACCTTTTACCTAATCAAAATAATAATAGCTTGATTGTTATGAAACTCCAAAAGGCTGCAGGATAGGAAATTACTATGCTGGTCCATGTCTGTCAAAGCAAAGATGGCCAAATTGGCTGAAGTGCTGAAAGAAGTGAAAAAGTTAACATGAAAAAGTTCAATATTATAATTAACATACTCATTGCATTCTAACCCAGGTCCTGTTTTAGCTTAGAATAACTGTTCCAGTGAATGGGATTACTGCCAACCTAGTTATTTTGACCTTATAAAGCAAGTCCCATTAGTTAGTGAGATGTGCTTCAGAATGGACTCTAAGTGTCGAAGTAATCTTGGAGGATCTCAAAACAGTTCCCAGTGTGGTGGCAGTGGGTGCCATAGTGACCTCTGATGTATTTCATGGTGCCCATTTGTTCTTTAGTTTTAAGGATAAAGTCTAAATTGTCTTGAATAGATCAGAAAAAAAGGGCACTTGAGGATGCTGAACTCATCCTAAGTGAGCCCACCAAGGCCTTTAACCTGACCACAGACATGGACTTTCCCACGTTTCTCAGCTCAGAAACCTCAAACAGTGTCAGGGGAGTGAAAATCTTTCCCTCAGTTTGGAAACTGAAACCATTCACAGAACTCATCCCACCTCCCTGCTGCAGCAGCTATTCTGTGATAGGCTGCTCTCCCATAGTAGTCATTTTGTCCTCTATCCTTTTTCAAAATTCTCAACATACTTGTATGCTTAATAGATCTGATGACCCTGCTGTAAATACACAGTTCCCAAATTCTTATGTGGTTACTGTTTCCAGATTTCAGACTATACATATCAGAAGACTCTTCACAGAAAAAACTCCCTCTACATAGGAAGGTTGGTGTCAGTGAGAAGGGTTCAAACCCTTCCATCTTCCCATCAAGTAAATCGTCGCATCTATAGGCTTTTTTCATGAGGGAGCATTCTTCATCTTCTGAAGAGGTATGGCTCAGGAACAATTCTACCACGAGTGTGTCTCTAGACAAACCATGATTTTAATGCAAAAAACCCTCTGTAAGCATTCAGAACTGACCTGTGCCAAATCGGTTTCATTTAACATCACAAGAGAAGTACACCCATAGTCATAAACTAATCTCCAGAAATCCTTCACAGTGTTTGGCAGAGGATGCTGTGTAACTATGAAAGCTGCAGGTTGTCGGTAGCTCTGTATTTAAAAAAATAAAGCAATGAGAAACAAATATGTACTCTTCTCTAAGGCAACTCCCTAGGACAAACTGAACAGTGCAGTGGATAGAGGAACATGTTTTATTTAAAATTCAAAATAAGGAGACCACTATATATAACAATGAAATAAATGAATAAATATATGAATAAACTGATACTTTGCACCTCTAGACCCTATTAAAAACCAGAGTTAGCGAATTCATTGGAACTTATTTCCAAGCAAGTATACTTGAGATCATGCTTTGGCTAAACATTTATGCTTCATGCCTCTCCTGCCATACCCCAAAACACTTAATGCAGGATTTTGTGGTTATGGAGAGTTTTGCTAGACATTCTTGTTGTCATTTAGAGGACAATACAATTATCTGGCTAGTTTTTAGGCAACACTAATGTAATGAATCTAGTAGGATAGATATGTTCTGTGTCTTTGTTGTTAATAAAGTATAGACACCAGGATTAGATCAATCAGCAGCCCTCAAATCAGGTCACTAGTTTAGCTATCCTACCACATATACACAAAAATGCTTAGAAAATGTTTGAAATGTATAGCTACTTTTATATACGTAAAAGATTTTACTCACACGTGTCCACTTCAAGAGCACTCAAAGCAGTTAAAAACAAAGGGCTGTATACAACAGAAATTTTCTGCCATGGGTGGCAATTTTCATAGCTTTCCCCACCTGTGGCAGACCACTGACACCTCTCTCATGCTGTTCTTGGGGAATCCCTGTCCCCAGGAAACAGCATTTTGCAGAGGAGGGGGGAGGCTTTCCATGGGATCCAAGCCAAAGCAGATAAAACAGAAGTTATGACATGACCCATAAAACCATGTATTTCTCAAATGCATTTGCCCCTGCATGTGATTAAAAGCATGGAACAGACTTTATCTGACATCTAAACTTCGGTCCGGGATTCAACATCTCCTGGCAATGCCAGGCCCCAAAGAGGCCAGGCTGGCCGCTACCAGGGCCAGGGCTTTCTCGGTGGCGGCTCCTATCTGGTGGAACGAGCTCCCGGAGGAGATCCGGGCCCTGCGGGACCTTGTGCAGTTCCGCAGGGCCTGTAAGACGGAGCTCTTCCACCAGGCGTATGAGTAGGAGCTGCCACTACCATCACCATTATTCCATCTTCACCTGGCCCTGGATGAGGGAACATCAGTGCTTCCCAGGAGCAGACGATGCTGAACAGTTGAAATATGCCATCTTTGAGCACTTTAGTCAATAACTTGTTAAGAATGTTTTTGTACTGTTGGGATTTTAAATGGTTTTAATTATGTTTTATATTGGCGTTTGCCCCTATGTAAGCCGCCCTGAGCCAGCATTGTGGGGAGGGCGGGGTATAAATTGAATTAAACAAATAAATAAATAAAATAAACTAGGGATGTGCACACACAGAAAATCAGTATTTTCCAACTTCAGGTATACTGAACCCGAAAATAACGGGATTTCCCAGTATTCCTGAATCCCAATAGCGGTATGATATTGGGATTCGGGAAATAATTGGGATTGCTGAATTTTTCGGCTCAGCATTTAAGGGGACCATCCCTTTAAATGTGTTTTGCAAGCTGTGCTGCGAATAAACCAGGAAGTGTGAACTCGCTACTTTGGAGTTCACTTGCAGCGCAGCTTGAAAAGGATCTGTGTGAGGAGAGGAGGTCTCACCCCACCATACACAGACCTGGCTGGGAAGCTTCTCCCGCCCCATGGTTTAAACTGCGGGCCAGGAGAGGGTGGCCCCAGGATCTGTGTATGGCGGAGACGTCTCTTGTTGATGGATGTAGACCTGTCCGGGAGGCTTCTACTGCCCCAGGATCTGCATGCGGCAGTCAGGTCTCTCCCCACTGCATGCAGACCTGGCTAGGAGGCTTTTCCGACCCTGCAGTTTAAACTGCAGGCCAGAAGAAGCCACGAGATGGCATTGCTGAATCAGGTTGAATAAAAGTTGAATAATTTCAGCTTTTATTGGGATTCTCTGTATCGGCAGCCAATTACAGATTATTAGAGAATCTGATTCAATGTACAAAATATCTGAAAAGTACCAATAAAGTATTTTTTGGGTTTTTATTTGTCTCAGCAAATACTGAATGCACACCCCTAATCTAAACAATGCTTATGTAGGCACTATACCAGTCTATTTCAGACAACCCAGAAACTGCAGCTGATCCAGAATCTGGCAGCTCAGCTATTGTCAGGGGTTAGCTGGTGGGAACATCTTGCCTGAGAGTCTGAGACTACTACCTTGGCTGCCAGTTTGTTTCTGAGATTGCTTCAAGATGATCATGACTATTAAAGTCATCTTTTCCTCATGAGCCAACTATGTTCTTCAGACAGCTACCTACTAGTTGCTCTTCCTCTCAAGGTAGTCTACATGGAATCATCCAGAGCCCATTCCTTTTCTACTACAGCTTTCACTGTGTGGAACACCATTGCTAGAAATCTTCAGGTGGCTCTGGCAAGGCCATTTTATTTGCCAGGGATCTTAATGGCATATCCACTGTGGGTTAGAGGCAGCCCCATAGCCAAGAATTTTTCCAGGGGCACCGGAGGCGCTTATTAAATTGAATGAAATTGCTTTTTTGAGGTTCAGGAAAAAAGGAAGGCGAGAACAAATAATTTTAACTGGGATTGCAATTAACATATCGGTCTGGATCCAGCAGCTACTTCTGCTGATACAAGAGATATCTAACAGCAGAATCAGATTTTCTTATCATCTCTCTCACACAGGAGATCCCTGAAATGCTAAGGGGGAAGAGATCCTAAGGAAGAGCATGGGTGCCTATGAACAGGGGGCAGGGTATGCAGTGGTCAGCAAAGGCCTGGCCAGTCCCCCTCCCTCTTGATTGCTGAGGCGGCTGTGCTTACCTGCTTGGAGCAGGCTGCTCCCTGGTGGGCAGTCACTATGGCCTCGCCAGCTCTTCCAGCTGCTTCCTGCTCCCTGGCGACTGCCCATTGGGTAAGGAGCACAGCATGGCACATTGGGGCGGTGTCATGGGTCTGTCATCCTCACTCTCTCCCCTCAGCCACTGGGGTGTGATTGTGAAGCCTTTTTGGAAGGTAGCCTAGGCCTTTGCCCTTTGACATGGGCGGACCCCGGTTCTCCACCTCACAATTCATACAGCTTCCCACTCCTGCTGATGTATGTATGGGAGCCAGGGAGGGCTTAAGGGTATAGAGCTGCCTGCCACTAGGCTGCTCACTCGGCATGGTTCATGCTGCACCGCTCTCAGCGAAGCTGCTGGAAGGAAGGTAATCACACTTCTGGGCCAGCACGGTGGTGCAGCTTACCAAGCTATTTAAATTTAAACTGGTAAGGGAAGATTGGGGGAGACTGGGGTGGGGGGCATTGCAAATGTGATAGGGGGCACCACCTGCAATGTCCTACCACTGGCTATGGCCCTGATAACAGTTATCTGTAAACAACCCCCCGCCAGTACAGATGGTAGCATCCATGCTGTACTGTCCTTAAATGAATATTATGTCTCCATTGTTCTACTCACTGATCCACTACTTTATCTGGAACTGTCCTCAGTAGTAAAAAACAAATTACTAGAACTGACTTTAAATTAACATACACATAAAAATTCTGCTAGAGTTTTTGTCATGAATTTCCAATTCCAACAAACATTTGAAATCTTGAAATTCTGGTCTCAGAATGTCAAAAAAATATCAGTAAACAATTTTAATAACTACTGTTTACTAACAGTAAACAATTTTACTTATCAAATTGTTTTTCTTTAATAGTTATTTAATTGAATGCTGGAGGAGAAGCACCTTGCATTTTCTTTAATCAGCAAGTGCTCCTGCACAGTCCACATCTTTTTGAGGCATGTTACACAAACAATGAAAATAGTCTCTTACATCCATAAGGGCAGCATTGATGTAGTTGCTGCTCTCGCCATCAATAGTGATTAAGAAAGGCAGACATCTGTCAGGTGGCAGCATATCCATAAAGCGGTTCTTGTCATGGTTCCTTGGCAGGCATGCTATACTGCAGTCTTCTGCTTGCAGACGAGGAGTCACTGAATTCAGGGTCTAAAGGACAGAGGGCAACTCTGTTAAGAAGGCAGCGCCTCTTACACTCGGACAGATTTGGGCATTAAATCATTTTGCATGGAAGAGATGTTGAAAAGCAAGGGGTCTGCCCACTTGGGTTGCCTCTGGAGTTCGGTCATGACAGAAAGTGGAATCAGATATTCTGTATATACAGAATTAGTTCTCCATCTGCATCCCAACACTAACCGACCCCCCCCCCCTGCCATCCCTGGAGAAAAACACTGTGTAAAATTCATGTACGCTGTTTCCTTATTAAAATGCAAAATCACCTCTGGCTGACCAAAGGTCACGGCTGTTCAAATGAATTGGCAGGCTATGGTAATTATAATCAGAGAATGGTAGTCTACATTTACAGAAGACTTTGCAATGTACACAGTGGAAGAAATGGCTGATAATATAGGCTTACCACACAGAGAGGGGCCAAAGGTTATGAATCTGACATAAAAAACGTTCTTTTTGGAAGTGATTATACCCAATGAAGTTGATGTTATATAAAAGAGCAACCAGCAACTGAAAATACCTGAAATTCATCTTTGAGATGTGAAGAGTTTGTCTGAGAGTCTATTCTAATCATATCAAAATATGCAGCTTTGAATTCACAGACAGGGATGGCAGTTTCTCCACATAAGCAAGCTTCCAGAATGGCATCATGAATAAAGATATACTGCTCCTGCCAGAAAAGGAACAGAAGAACATTTTAGTGATATTTCTTACTAGGATTCTCATTCAACTCATTCAATTTAACTTAATCCATTTTATACTGCTGAAGTGCATTAAGTACAACCAGTTACTCGAGATTCATTTAATCAGAGTAATCTCCTGAGAAAGGCTAATTTAAATATAAAGATGCTTAATGGCATAGATAATAATTTGCTTATAGTGGATATTTAATTTTTTGGGGGGTGTCTATGTTTCTCTTTCAGTGTAATTTGCTTCTTTATTTGCAATAGCTTTCATTCATGAAATCCAAAAGTAGTATACAAATAGCTAAATGCTTTGGAGAGGGGCTCTGTGTATTCCATGCAAAAGTAAATTTCCTCATGATTAAATACAGGTCTGAACATGGAATTAAAAAAAATAATGATGAGTTCCTTGATCTTTGCCACAGCTCTGTGCTTGCTGTACAGTGGTTTGATGTATTTACAGTGAATTTCTATGCAAATTTCTCATATGTAAGTTCCATTATGTCCAATGGGGCTTGATACCTAGCAAATGTGTTCATTATGACCCTGTAGTGCAGAGGAGCATATAAGTGACTGGGGAAACTGGTCTCAAGTCCCCACTCAGCTATAAAAACTTTGGATGACTGTGGGCCAGTCGTAACTACTTCTCAGTTTAAGTTATTGTACCAAGCTTTGTGACTGTACCATGAGAGATGAGGGGGTCATGTAGAAGCTACATTGTAAGATCTTTGTGTTAGATTATTTTGCAAAGTGAAATAATCATCATCTCCGTGTAAGTGAAAAATGTGTATACCTCTGGAATAATGCTGGTGGAAATTTTTATGCTGCTACCACAAACAGTTTATTTTGCTGTTAAATGTGAAGCGGCTTCTAGCTCAATTGACTGCTAAGTTTGCTTTTTCAACAATAAATTTTGAACTCGTCAGTTGGCCTGTTGCCTGGATAGCCTCTTACGAGCATTCTTATATTGCACCTGCAAAATAATGGCTGCTTTATAAAGTCACTGCCAGTCAAATAATCTGTGATCTGAGTGTTTAAAAGCAGATGCTAAGAGCTAATATAGAGCACATGGGGTGGGAAAAATCAGGGTGAAACAAAGTGCACTTTTAGATGCTATATTTACCAGATGGTGCTGGCAACTATCAAGTTGTAAATGAGATGCCTACATCAGATGCCCGCTCCTGTTCTATCTACAAAAAGCAAGCATGTCCTTCCCACACTTTTGTCTGTTCTCCAACAGCCACTAATGGCAAGGTGCAGCCCAATAGGTATTTTTACTATACACCTTATTTCTAGGTCTCCAAGAGATCAGACAGATATAAATTGATGCCTTAAGATATGTAGTTACTCCCAGTCTAATATATCATCTACAGCATCCCGGATTTGCAACATTAGCTCCAAATCGATGCACAGTACATTTTTTACACAGTTCCCAACATTAACATTTAAGGACATCTAAAACATAAATAGAAGGCATCTGAGAAGAGACTACCATACTAAGCAGGATATATGTGTGTGTGGGAGAGGGTATATAAGGTAATGTTCTTAGTGAGATATGTGACAGAAATGTATTTTAGTGCCTTGTTCAAAAGCTGTACTTTGTCTATAAACTTCTTGGATGCTGGAGTGAAAAATGCACATCCTTTGCCAGCATCTAGATGGCCTGTATGACCCCTTCCAACTCTGTGATTCTATGATTCTATCTAACAATCAAATTTCATGAAAAGTCCCCAAGATTATGTCTACAGTTTGAATCCAGAGCCCAAATGCCTTTCTGTGATTTAGGATACTTAGTCACATTATGGACAGGACAGCAGTCTAGGAAGGTGATATCTGGAACTTAAGAACACAGTATTAGACCAACTATTCCAATATCCATTTTCCAAAAGTGGCCAGATCAACGTTCTTTTGAAAGCTGCAATCAGGACGTAAAGGCAACAGCTCTTTTCCACTTGTGTTAACAACTCAATTTTTCTCCAATGGTTTGTCTTCATGAAGCAAGATTCTGTGATTCAAGGCGTGCTGGCTAAATGCCTCAAGTAGAACACTGCACTACTGACTATTAAATGCAGAAAATGAAGCATTAATACCTCTGTCTGTACCATATTGATGCGGCGTGAACGCAGTGCTTTGACACAATTGTAGATGTCCACAACACCTTCTCTTTCTGCCATGTCGAGCATGATGTCAATTACGATGTAACAGCCAGTTCGTCCAGCTCCAGCACTTAAAGGAATTAGAAAATGATTTACAGAGTATTCCTCTCAATACAATCCCCCCGCCTCAAACTGCTAACTCCTCTTGTTCTTTATAGTAAAACTATGAACTGCATATCTAATAAATGGAAGTGTAATTTTGAATTAATTAAAAGACAAATATTAGCACAAGTAATTCAGATGAATAACCAGGGATTCACTGGGTTAGATCCTATTTCTTCTACTAAACTACATTTGCAGAAACAAACACCTGAACCAGCCCTAATCCTTAATATAATTGAAGCTCATTAACACATAAAAGTGAAGTACTTGTTTCATATCCTTTGAAAAGCACACCCAGAAAAGATGCACTGTTAAAGTCCAATGGTGTTCAGGCTTTTGTTTCAAAACTGATTTGAGATCAACAAACAAAACTCCCACAACATCACATTACATCACAAGAGACTACGGGTCATGCTCACATTGAGAAGTTATAGAAAATGCATCTACCTCTTCTCTACACACCTGCAATGCACAACAATCGGCCCAGCACTAGGAGGGTTAGAAAGTTTCACACGGCGTATGAATGAAAGAAGGCCTGTTGCGTTGTACGGTACTCCATGATCTGGCCAGCCAGTAAAGTGGAACTGTTTAACTTCACGTATTTCATTGTATGCTCTCTGTCAAAATTGGAGAGAAAAAACACACCAACATAATGTTTTTCATAATTTAATAAGTCATGATAGGCAAAAACATTAAAAATCAAATATTGAATTTTGAAGCAAGCACAGCAATTGCCAGAATCAATACTTTTTTTTGTTAAAGCTCTATGTGAAAAAAAAATGACAATTGTGTCTTAAAATAGGATTGCTACAGCTGAATTTATGTATGGTTATAAATACAAAATGTCACTGAATATCTGCTTTTTTCATAAACAAAATACAACACTGAATGTGATACTATTTTCTCATTATATATTGAAAACTTGCATGGCCAAGCCATATATATTATACAATTATAACATATGAAAGAGTATTCCCATGAAGTCCATATTACGAAATACTCACATATAGGAACAGAGGACAGTGCAAAAATAGCTTGTAAGGAAAACAGCCCTAGGAGTTATGGGCTACACTATGGCCATTTCCACACAGGTTAGTTGCCCTGGGTTGATGCGGCTGGGAAATAGTCCACCCACTCCCCACTTCTGCATAGCCTCATGGTGCATTTGTGCAGCTCTTAGGGGTTCCCTGGCTTTTCTCTGATCTTTCCCATACCTGCTTTGCTCTGAAGTTTTGAGAAAGATCCCAGAAAAGCCTGGACGGCTACTGTGTGGGTCATTTCACCCACACAGCAGCCGTTTTGTCTCCCGGTTATGGCAGCCATTTTTTTAAAATCCACAACTGAATAGCATTATATCACCACAGTGTTACAACAATATGTGTACCAGGTTCTCTGACTACCCAGCTCAAATTGTTAAAAGAAGTATTCTTTAGTACCTTTTGTGAAGATAATGGGCAAAATGTGTATCTCCACAACGAAAGGGGCTAGAAAATCACTTAAAAAATGAAAGCTGGAAGTTCATAGAACTTGTTACACGGATAAAGTTATATTGATATAACAATACTAAACTGGCAAACATTTTTTTAAAGCCCTGCTGGTGTGCAATGGGGGAGCGAATGACCACTGATAAAAGACTGGGGCAGGTAAACTATGAAAAACCTGACTTGGGGAAGCACTGGTGTAGATCTTACCCCACCCTACCACTCTACTGAGCAAAGTTTGTTTATTTAGGCATTTATTTATCAAAATATTTATACCTCACATTTCCTTTTGGCTTAAGTTTGAAGCCTTCCCTCTGTCTATGGAGCCTTTCCTCCAGGTTACGTGGCTTGTCCACTGGAGGAAGAGCTGCTTAAGTTGGAGGAATGCTTCTTAGGACAGAGGAAGGCTACCTGGCAGGTGGTTAGATCCACTCCAGTATTGGCAGCTGAAGCAGCAACAGCGGAACTACACTGTCTCTGGATGACACAAGGAAACCAGTACACAAAGGAAATGTCTATACAACAAGCCCATACCAGTTTCACAGTACAGAAACTGTCATGGCTTCCTCTCAAAACTCTGGGAAATTCCAGTGGGGTGCTGAAAACAATCTTTTAAAAGATTCCTAACCACTCTGCACCACAGAGGTAGTGTAGATATGCCCCTTCGAAAGAGAAAAAGTGATAATGATAAGAGCCCAACTGAATAATACAGGTATCCAGCACAGGTGACTATGAAGAAAGAAGAGTAGTGATTGAGAGATACAGCAAGAAACAGACACAACACCAGTTGATTAAAGAGATCATGTATCCTGAAACTGACCTGCTTGGATCAGAGCAGCAACATGTAAAAGAACTAAAAATAAGCAAGGTGCTAACTGGGTAGTAAAAATATTTTTCATGATGAAGTCATCAGAAGCCACCTCTATGATATTCAACTCCTGAATAAGCAAAGCTTAAGTAACAAAACAGAAAACCAGATTCTGTGAAGAAACTGTTTTATGCATGTGTGTGTTTGTGTGAAATCAAAGAGGCGTGCATTACAAATATCATTTAAGGAAGCTGATCTTAAAACATTGCAAATGAAAAGTTCCAAGGGGCAGAAAGAAAGATTTTCAATGCAGCTTAGATTTTATAACATTTACATTTGTCAAAAAATTCAAAGCTTGATATTATCATCATCATCAACAACAACAACAAAAACAACCACATTTCTATACCGGCCACAGCCAAAGCTCTCTGTGCAGTTTACAACAAATATAAAACAGTAAAAGTACAATACAATAAATCGATATTAAAATTAATATAAGAAAACATAAGAACATCAAAACAGTAGTAACAGTAAAGAGCAGCTGACAGAGGCACCAAGCTAATCATAATGGGCCCCTGAATGACCAAAGAGATATTTAAAGGCTTCTGTAAATCTGGTGCCACAAAGATGGCAGATTATGCACCAGGCAGGCTCCAGCAGGGAGGTTGTTCCAAAGATCGGGGGGGGGGGAACACTGAAAAGACCCTCCCCCTAGTGGCCACCCTCTGAGCCTCTTGAAGATATGGCACCTGGAGGAAGATCCCAGAAATTGAGCACAGTGTCCAAGTAGACTGAGGCCGGGAGAGGTGCTCCGACAGGTATTGCAGTGATTATTATGGAAACAAAACAAGACAGAAAAACCACAAGAATGGAGGGAGAATTTTAAGTCAGTGGTAAAAGTGTTTTAACTAAAAAGAGAGAAGAAGATAAAGTATACTGCACACAAATGTGAAGATCTGTGAAACAGAGAAAGCTGTTTCCCATTGACTGACAGAATGACCATACGACCAAAGAAAAATCAATTGCCTCCCTGGACACTGCAAAGGCAGGATACAAATATTTTAAATACATAAATAAGATATTTATGAATCTCAAAGAGAATATTTCCAAATTAACAGAATAGGGATTGAATAAGTGCGGTGCCACATATATGGAAAGTATAATAGGTACTTCTAAAAATACGTACTCTTTCAAGGGTGAATGTTCTAACTACATACTCTGCAAGTGGCTCCACTTCCACACAAGTAACTTTGAAGTCCCCATACACTTCAGTGTCATCAGGCCAGTACTTATAACACTTGACCTACAGTAACATCCAAGAAATACAAAGGAATGAAAGATGCAAATGGGTCCAACATGTTATTAATTCTACCTAGTAATACAATAATGCAGATGCTAATTCACAAATGAAACAGCAGGTGAAAATTACTCAAAACTATGTAGCACCCATCTTAGTTCTACCTGCATGTTCCTTGTTAAGCTTAGAGATATTACATATTTGCTTCCGGTGCCCTTACTTTTAGAATGAGCCCATACCGACTTGCACCGTGTTTCAGACCATCCAATCATTTCAAATGTCAGAATCAAAAGGGAAAAAAACACCAACACATCCCAAGTATTCATCTGTTATAGATAACAAGCAAAAGGGACAGAGTTTTCTGGAACCTTAGAGACAAGGAGGAGTACAATGAAATAATCACAAAGGGATTAGTAAATGAGAAAACTGTCCTATATTAAACTGCACTGAACTGGTTTCATTAAAACAACACTTCTTTCTTTTGTATGCACTAAGTGCTCTATGATAGCTGATTGTACATTGGGCTGATTTGTACTGTTTTCCTGTTGTGCACAGTGGGTGGACACAGAGAGGGCTTTGCACCCTGGTTTACAAATCTCACTTCTTGGTCCTCCAAACATTCATGTACAAACATAATACACATATAACTTATATGCATAAAATCCATGTAATTCATGTGATTGTATCCCACATACAATCCAGAAACTGATAATACAATTTGGGATTGTACTGGGATTTTGATTTGAAGCAAATGGGCACACATTGCATCTAGGCACTGAACTGGGAGTTCCACAGTCTTGCTCTCACCAAATGTAGAGAGATCAACTGAACAGCTCACGTTTCAAGGAACTCATACCCTTTTTTCATATCAGATAAGAAATTATACTTTAAGTAACTTTCTGAGATTTTAACATTTTCTATAGTTGTACTTACCCGTCCCACCTCAACTAAATTTGTAACCATAACAATGCAAGCTGATTGTTCCTGCCATATCATTCGCCAGAAGTCATACACTGTTTCGTGGACTGGGCCTGGAACAGATAACATTCTGAAATAAATGTAAAGTAGTTACAGATCTGCAAAGTATCTTTCAGTTATTTCTTAGATAGCAAGGACTCCAGTAATTCTTATAAATTTGCGGCACCCTAGAAACACAGACATTAGTCTCACCAAAATAGCTTATTATCACCAGCTGATTATAAAAAAATTAAGGCAAAAAAATTAGACTTATCAAGGTATCCAATATCAGAATGAACCAATACCTAAGAACTAAATTTTTCTGGCTTAATCATTAGTATATTAACATTCATCATGACTATGGATACTGCAAAACCTGTTTTGGCCATCCTTTCCATCACTATTTATTGCAGAAAATATATGAACTGTAGCATAACCACAATGTGTGTCCCTGGTTAAAATTTAAATGTTAAAGACATTATTGACAGACTATCGTTTGCACTATTTGTAACTGCAATTTATTGAAACTTGTAACTGAAAAATAGCAGACATAATTACACATATTTAAGGATACAATGAACAAAGAGTACTTAATGGTACATATCTTGGACCACCACACACACAATTTTAGATGTTAAATGATATAAGGCCTCTGGTGACATCAAACTTGAGTGAACCATTAGTTTCAAGATTTTCTTCCTACAGAATCTGATCCATTGAACGTGTGAAATTTTTTAGTACATATATCTATTTAGCTTTTTTCACCTCTGACTTTTTGGGGCAAGAATTTGTGCCATAATACTCCACTGCTTTCTCTATAAATGGTGTGTGTGTGTGTGTAAAGTGTCATTCAGGTCTGCAACCAACTTATGGTGACCCCGTAGGATTTTCTAGGAAAGAGATGTTGAAAGGTGGTTTGCTATTGCCTGCCTGGTATTCCTTGGTGGGCTCCCATCCAAAGACTAGCCAGGACTGACCCTGCTTAGCATCTGAGGTATGATGAGATCAGGCTTGTCTGGACCATCCAGGTCAGGGCCTACAAAGTTTAGTCTTAATTATGTTGTTGTTGTTCAGTCACACAGTCGAGTCTGACTCTTCGCGACCCCATGGACCAGATCACGCCAGGCCCTCCTGTCTTCCGCCATCCTCTGACGTTTGCTCAATTTCATGTTCGTTGCATCTATGACACTAACCATCTCATCCTTTGCTGTCCCCGTCTTCTTTGACCCTCAGTCTTTCCCAGCATCAGGGTCTTCTCCAGTGAGTACTCCCTTCTCATTTGGTGGCCAAAGTATTTGAGCGTCAGTTTCATTATCTGGCCTTCCAGGGAACAGTCAGGGTTGATTTCTTTTAGGATTGACTAATTTGATCTTCTTGCAGTCCAAGGGACTCTCAAGAGTCTTAATTATATCCCATATTATATGCGGTCTCAAAATAATGCTGGAAACTTGCTTCTTTCAACCTAAATAGTTTATTTTATTTATAGTCCATCTTTCTTGCTGAGACTCAAGGAGGATTACAGGATAAAGCAGTGGAATCAGACAGTATAAAACAACCAAATGAACTGTGAAAGAAAACTAGGAATTACAGTTAGCATCATATTCTGCAGCTATAGGGGACTGATCCCACAAAGGATTTCCACAAATGGAAAGGGAGGGTTTTTGCTGTTTTCCCTCTTCGGCTGCATATCTTTAACTACCCCCATCCCCCAGGAGCAGCATTTTAGCACACATTTTGGGCTGCAGCTGGAAGGGAAGGGAGAAAATCTGCTCAGGTGATGCAAATTATGTCCATCAGCAAAAATGTTCAATGGGGTCCAAGTCATATTTTGATTCCTTTTATAAAAAGAGGAAAATCCCCACCCAAACTAAGACAGTACACTGTCCCAGTCCAGATCTCCAACATTCATTGCAACACTTGCATAGACTATGTAGAGTACGGCTGTCTCAAGGAACCATACTACATAAGACAATGCACTGCATATATTATTTCTTTATACATATAAGGCTTGTCTTCAAATAGGGAAACCCTTCCAGGTGGGGTAGCTGTAAGGGACAGCTAGAGTGCAGTCATATCTACTCAGGGAAAATCTGAGTCAGGCATGCACCAACTGGGTATCCTACATAAAAAAGCCGCAGCAGAAATGGAAAAACAGCAACAATAACAAACACTGACCGCACCACTCTAAACAGAGTTTACCCTTCTAAACCCTGAGGTTAAGTTTAGAAAGATATAACTCTGTTTAGGGACTACACTGTGAGTTATGCACAATATCCCTCTCCTTTATGGAGAGAACAATTGCTGTGGCACTGTTTATTAACCATTCTATACTACAGTCTGGCAAACTCTTACCTTGGGTTGCAATATAATGACTTGGCCTCTGGTACCCCTGAAACAAAACAAAACAAAAATAAACTGATTTCTACAATGGACCATTAATCTGATTAAAGAGTAGAACTGAAAACATACTCAACAAAATTTGTCAGCAGAAGCCTTTTAAAAATACGCTACTGGTAGCTGTGAAAGATAACTAGTCAGCCATATTCAGTTGCTTGTTGCAGTTTCAATCAAATATTCTATTCCCAACCCTCTGCTTGGAATTCAGTCCCTTTAATTTCAATAGATCTTATTATTCTATGTGACCTAATGTAATTTTTACTTTAAGGAACATCAAAAGATCAATTCTTAATAAAATGTTTGCAAAATCCCCAACTAACTTAACATTTATTTAACATAACTTTGTGCAAGGAGCTATAATCTTGCCTTCGGTTTTCATAATTCAAGTAGCTATGTTTGTTAGCTCATTTAACAAACTGTGAAATAACTGGACTCCTTCAGCAAAGACTAACTTTCACTATGAATGCATAATAAAATATTAGAGCCATAAATAAAAGCAGAACAGCTGAATGTTAGAGCTGGACAATGTGTACATGTGTGCAGATTCAAAATCTAGATGCTATGTAATTACACAAAATAGATTCCAGAACACAGATGGTAAATATGTCTCTATATAGTACTTAATGTAAAGACACGTATATACACGCACACATATATATGTGCTATTGAACTTTCCCTGAAATACCATTCTGAAATACATGAAGGACTCTACTGCTTTAAGTGCTTCTGAACACTAATAACTTCAGAATGCAGACTACAACAAACTAACTGGATCCCATGTGAAATTAGTTCATTGTAAATAGACTAATTTTTGCTTGCAGTATATGTTACAGGATTTTAAAACATAACATAATTTAGTTGTGCTAGTTTGTATCCCCCTTTGTGCACAAATATGAGATACCACCTTCATAAGCAAGACTACAACTAAGCTCAGATTTCAAGAAGCTTCGTATGAAATCATCTTGTTAAAATAGTCAGTGAATCTGTCTTATATGCTACTAGCCTGATACCCGTGCTTCGCTACGGTATTTAAGTTCCGTAAATCCAGTTATAATACTGATGATGTGAAATTTGAAATGTGACATTTGTTGTAGGAATTCTAATGGAGAAGATTGTAGTGCAAGAAATGAAGTGAGACATACATACTTTTTTCCTCTCTACTGAAGGACCTTCTCTCTAGGCCACATTGGTGGTTCTACCCTCAGGTGCTAGGATCACCAGGCTGCTTGATGAGCTCACTCTGGAGCAGGCCACATAGAACTGTCCATTTAAGAAGCAGTCGTCTGTTAAGTCAACTCCTGCTACCTTCCACGAAACTGATGGCCTCTCTACTTGTGTTCCTGGATTGTTTTGCTCAGATGGAGACTGTGTTGTTCTGAGCACCTCAGGGTGATCTTGCTGGTACTTGGCCTGTGCAGCTCAGTGCACTGCAGGAGTACTATGTGCAAATGTCTTTGTCGCATTCCTAAGTTGCCTCCGCCTTGTAGCGTTGGTGTATCTGGCTCGACATTTGCCAGGAGCTTTCTTGGGGGCAGTAAGACGTGAGAGGTGTGAGGGGGAGTTGGTGTGAGGGAGTGGTGATGTGGTGGACATTTCTTCAGGTTCACGAGGGAGGCACACATTGAAATGGCTCCTAGAAATGTCCTTTACTATCTCCTCATAAACATTCATACCCTGGCCCTGCTCCTACACCTGACAGACACCAGCCTGTCTGGTGTTGGGGGGATTGTATTTAAAGGCATTGGGGAGAAGCCACTGTGGAGGCCGGGCTGGCAGGATCACTAAGGCGTTGCTGCTGGGGCAGGCTCCCTCGTGGCTTAAAGCACCCTGCAACTGCTGCTGCACCTGACAGACAACTGCCTGTTAGGTGTAGGAGGTGGGGGGAGTATGTTGGAAGCCACCCCATCTCCTCTCCTACACCTGACAGGCAGCTGACTGTCCAGTGTAGGAGGGGGAGGGGAAGGAGTATTAGAAACCACGGTGGAGGTGGGGCTGCACCTGACAGACAACTGCCTGTTAGGTGTAGGAGGTGGGGAAAGTGTGTTAGAAGCCACCCCACCTCCTCTCCTACACCTGACAGGCAGCTGCCGGTCCAGTGTAGGAGGGGCAGGAGTATTAGAAGCCACTGTGGAGGTGGGGCTGCACCTGACAGACAACCGCTTGTTAGGTGTAGGAGGTGGGGGGAGTGTGTTGGAAGCCATAAGAGAGACTGGGCCAGCAGTTTTGCTTCACCTCACAGGTGGTTCTTTCCTCAACTGTCATTAGCTGTCTGCAGTCCCCTGTAACTGTTGGGTTTTTTAACCTCAGAACTCTGAGCTCTGCAGCTGACCAATCAGAGAGTGGGGGGTGCAGGGAGCGAGCTGCCTGGCAGCCGCATAGGAATCAATGGGGGGAGCACATTTTCCCCCTTTTGACCCACTTAGGGGGCGAATTTCTAAAAAATCCCTTCTTAGCGAGCACCTACGCCATGGTGGGAGCGCTCTTCCCAAATTCGGTGTCTCTAGGTCCAGAGGTTTGGCCTGGGTGTTGATTTTATGGTCAGGGGACTTTCTTTTATATATATAAGAAGGGGCCTCATTATGTATATGTAATAGAAACTTCATAAACTAGACAGGCCTGAATAATTACTATACAAGCCTCCGCATAAGGGTACTGACCAGTGTACTTTCACAGGCTAAAAGTTGTGCATTAAAATCAGCCATTAAAAAGTATGTCCTTTGACTATAAAGTATTCTGTCAAAACATTCTTATACCCTGACCCCATGCCTTTTCATCACAGTTTCAGTAAAATCATCTTCTTCTGATTACTTTTATACACAAGTTTCCATTAGTTAACTTCTGAAAATATTCCATTAAATCAAAGGCAGAAATCAGGAAGCTTGCATTATGTATCTCAATATATATGTTTGTGTATATACCACAAAATGTTCAATAGATATTTCAACAATAAATAGGAAGGTAAAATGTTCAGCATATTTAGCAAGATCACATAGGTGTACTCCTTAAAAAAAAAAAAAAGGAGTCAGAATTCCCCCATACCCCTTCCAATATCATAAGCAGGACATTCTGATGTTTCTTTCAAGAACACTATACATCATACTATCCAGCTTCTCACATGAAAATGGAATGCAAAATAAAAGCTACTAACCAAAGCAATCAAAATAATAGTCAAGCAAAATGGATTTTTTCTTAAAAAGACAAATTTAGCTGGTTTAGCTAATGGTTCTCATGACTACACTAAGGGACCAAGCTATCTTTAAAAAAAACCAAACAGTTACAAACATAAAGTATTAGCACAAAGGAACATTAAAAAGACCAGATATATAAATGAGATTAAATGAGGCATGCACATATATCTAGTAATCAAAATTAGAAGAGGAATGCAACGGAGAACGTTCGCTATATTAAATAGTCATAACAGGATGCTGTTATTCACATATAGTGGTACTTACATCCCTGTACAGCCAAATCTACAGCCCAAATCAAAGTCAGATGTGAAAGAAAGCACAACAATGTCAGTGAGTACTAGGACGGAGAACAAGGAAAAGTGTACATTTTGTTCTTAATTAAACAAAAACTTGTTCAAATCTGTAGGCATTACATGCAAAAAAACGGTTTCACAGAGAGAAGCTGGAAGAAAGGAAAACTGGCTATATATATCTACTTACATCAATGTAATTAGCATTAATGTAGTCTGAAGAAGGATCATCCTCAACAGGTTGCAGTATCACCCTGGAGTGGTCATCTGTAAACACAATGGCTCATGTCAAATTTATCTTTATAACTAATACGTAGTATGGCATAGGTAAAGGTAAAGGTTCCCTTGCTCGAAAGCCAGTCGAGTCCAACTCTAGGGTTGCGGTGCTCATCTCCGTTTCAAAGCCGAAGAGCCAGCGCTGTCCGAAGACGTTTCCGTGGTCATGTGGCCGGCATGACTAAACACCAAGGCGCACGGAACGCTGTTACCTTCCCACCGAAGTGGTACCTATTTATCTACTTGCAATTTCTTGCTTTCGAACTGCTAGGTTGGCAGGAGCTGGAACTAGAGACAGGAGCTCACCCCGTCTTGCGGCACCCGGGTCTTGAACTGCTGAACTACTGACCTTCCACAGCCTGCAGTTCAGCATCTTAACCACTTGAGCCACTGCAGTATGGCATAGGTGAGCATAAATTGAAATGCCAGATTATGATTAACTGTAGAGTGGCTAACCACTGTGTGGGTGATGCAAGTATCACAATGGGGCTTGCCACTGTCACCCAGAGACAGATGCTTGGATCTCGTGATGAGCAAGCAAAAACACAAATGGATTTAGTCCAATTCCACTTTCACAAGATCCAGTGCAATATCTAGTATGTTCCTCCCGATGTATTATGGTGCCCAGAAATGAGCTGAATTAGATCATGCACAAGCAGAAACACAAGAGGCGATAGAGTAAATGTGACTTAGTGGAACTTGCTACCATGGCCTTTTTCTTGTGCTTATGTTTGTGCAAAAGCTTTAGTGGAGGTGGAAATTTTGTGCCTCAATCTGCTCAGGGAACTACTCAGGTATACAGGAAAATGTGGCTTTGCAAATTTACCCATTCAAAGGAAAGAATCCTGAACAAAGTCTGAAGAGGGCTGAAAGTACTTTAGAAAGACTAGAATATTGACAGCACCAAGTATCAGTGCTGCAAGGGAAAGGTGTGTGTGTGTGTGTGTGTGTGTGTGTGTGTGTGTGGTGAAATCAGCCAGTCCCAGGGAGCTCAGAGATTTGATGTATGGGACAGGATTTCCAAACTGCCCCCCCCCTCCCCAAATTCCTCATATTCCGTCCAGATTTTAACAGTACAGTCGCTGTCACCATTCTGATCATGAAAGCAATGGGGTCAGTCACAAAGATGGGGAAGGTTAATTCATACCTGTTGGAAGCCTGGAAAGTCCCAACTTTACAGCAAAATATTAACTTCCCTGAGCCTTATATAGATGGAAAATACCAAGGGGGGCCATAAAAGAACTTAATGCGTACACAGCTTGAGGGGAAAATAAAGATATCAGTTTTCTGTGAAGGCTTCAACTGTGTAGTACTGCACTATCTGGATCTTACATGGGGAAAGATCAAAAGACTCTGAAATGTTGTCCCTGCTGGCAAGGTGTTTGGAGAAATACTGGACCTGCTGCCATCCCAGACCTAGAGGGACATCATGTTGGGCTTTAGAAACACTGATGCAGCTGCTTTTCCTTCCCTTCTACCTACCACAGGCCCAGGAGGGAGGAGAAGCTGTGGATAGCAGGCATGATGACTGAACCATATTAAATAAACAATGGTGAGAGGGAGTTACAGCATTTTTTCTTCAGAGACTTTCAAATCTCTTTCCAACCCTTCCCCCAAATCCACTTCTCTATTTTTTCTCTTCCAAAAATCCTTCTCCTTTTCTTTTTTCAAAAATAAAAATACAATTTTACAACAACTTTTAATATACCAGAAGGCCTACTTTACCAGTTGCAGAGGGCAGGATGTTAAAAAGCCCACTGTCGAAATGTACACATGTACAGCTTTAAAGCTTTTCAACTTCTACCCCTTTCACCTGTGATTTCTTACAGGTCTCCTCAAGATCAAAAGATTAAGCAATGGAACAAACTTCTTTAATCTACTAAGAGAGCAATTCTACATTAACTAAAGCTCAACATATTTTAGTACTAGATTAGGAGTAAACATTCCACAGATAATGGACTGTGAATCTCTTAGTAAAAAATAATAAGAAGTACTTTCCATCAAACCAGCACACCATGGTTCAGTCCTTTGGAAGGGTTTACATCAACCAGTGCTGCATAATAGTAACTTCAAACAGAACAACAAAGGTACTGTCTTGTCATGGTGAGCTGTTTGTCTAAAATAATCCACCATATGTAAACTTTTATTTAATTACAACTAGAGATGGGCATGAACCGGCTAGTCACAAATTTTGGTTGGTTCGTGGTTCACAAAGCAATGTTTGCAAACTGAAGATCGCCACGAACGTCCATGAATTTTGGTGATATTTGTCCATGAATTTTGGTGCAGTTTCTGCTCTTCACAAAAACCAGCTCTGAGCCATTTAAACCAAGCAGCTGAGTGGTGGTCCCATTACTCATCTGTTTGGAAACCTCTGCTTTCTGCTCCCTGTGAAAAGCTGCGGGGAGCAGAGAACAGGTGTTTAAAGTTTAAATGGCTCACAAACCAATATGAACCAAGTTGGTTCATGAACCAGCCTCCTGGTTCATATGGGTTCATAGTTCAGCCATGAACCATACCTAAATGCAAAAATGCAGTTTGTGCCCATCTCTAATTGCTACAATTAGGTTAACTGGCAGCAGTCAGGCAATGGTACACTTCTATAAGCAACAGGTCACTCCAATCCACTTCCCCTTTTCACTCAAATGACTGCTTTACCACTTAACTTTGAAAGCACAAGTTATCTTTTGGAGCCTCCATCACTTTCAAAGTGAAGATCAGCATTGGACTTTGAAGAGTTAAGAATCTGGCTCACAAACACGCTTAGCTCATGAAAAACCCTACAATAAGAACATTTGAAAACCTATTATTCCATGCATTTTCATAAGATGGGCAGCTAACTTCAAAGCTGTCAGCTGTTTTCCCAGTAGGGGTGTGCATTCAGCAATAGACAAACCAAAAAACCCAAAAAAAATACCTTGTAGGTATTTTTCAGGTACCACATAAGCCGAATTCAGATCAGAGATATTATCTGGCTTTTTTCCGGGTTCATTTTGCTATACTGAAAACAAGGTCTTTAAACTTAACAACCGGAGCTGCCAGTCAGCTGTTAGGTTTAAATGCCTTTCTTTCCTTTCCTGAGATTGGCATTTTAAACATGCCTGACTTTTGCTTCCCCAGCCAACCCACACGCATGCTGACATGCTCCCTTCCTTCCCTGAGCCTCTCCACTTTGCGGACAAACTCAGGGCAGGGGGGGGGGCATGTTAAAATGCCTTTCTTTCCCTTCCTAATCTGAGGAAGCGAAAGAAAGGCATGTTTGCATACCTGCCCTTTGCTTCCGCAGCCAGCCTGCCACGGCGGGTAGGCTGGGGAAGGGAAGGGCACGCATGCAAACATGCCCTCCTCCTTTCCTGAGCCTCTCCGCTTTTGCGGAGAAACTTGGGGAAGGGAGGGAAAGGCATTTTAAACGTGCCTGGGTTCCCTGCCTGATCTTCTCTAGGTGCCCCATGGCTGCAGGGCAGCTGGAGAAGACCAGGCAGGGAACCCAGACATGTTTGCATGCCTGCCCTTGGCTTCCCCAGCCAGCCTGCTGCAGTGGGTTGGTTGGGGAAGCGAAGTGCAGGCATGTAGGCATGCCCCCTTCCTTCCCTGAGCCTCTCCGCTTTGTGGAGAAACTCAGGGAAGAGGGGCATGTTTAAATGCCTTTCTTTCCCTTCCCCAGATCAGGGAGAAGAAGAGATTGGATTTATACCCCGCCCTTCACTACCCAAAGGTGTCTCAGAGCGACTCACGCTGACTTGCTGGCAGGAGAATCAATGCGCCTGGAAAGCTTAGTTAAATAATGGCTGAACTTAATATATACAACATTAGCCCTAAAAGGAAATGAGAAGCAGGACACTTGCTGCAGACAAATCCTATATGAAACAATACTCTACTCTTTCTTTCTACCTAGAGTTCATACACAGTCATAACAGCTTACACATATTCATAACCTATGTGCATTATACATTAAACATATATAGTTAATCACAGAAACAGAGCTTATGGGGATTTTAACTATGCTACGGAAAGCACGGGGCTTTCCAGACATGGGCAGACACTGGGATAATATAAAATCCAAAAAAGGAAGTTCAGCATCTTACACAAGGACAGAACACTGGGTCAAAGTGACCCTAGTGAAAGAAGGAGGGGATTTCCTAAAATGGAAAAACCCCGATGATCAGATGAGAAAAAACCAACACTTCTAACTGTTGGGAAAACAATTTGAAAGGTCAGAGCTTCTGATTGCTTAACAGAGAAATGGGATAGGCAAGGAAAAAAGAACTTAAAAGGAGAGACCTGAGCGTCATGGGCGTCGGGTCAAAGAAGAGAGGAGGGTGCTCCTGTCTTCTTGCTCCGGTTTTTTCGTCTCTATAGGAACCCAGAAGGGCTGTCATCTTCGTTCGTCACAAGTGCTCAAGAGTGGTGAGATGCGTTATCCGATAATCATGTTTATGGCCCTTTTGGCCATGATTGAAACAAGCAATTGAAGGAACTGCACAAAATGTAACCTCTTAGCAAAACTGCTATTTGAAGCTATGTTTAAATAAAATTCATAAATCTATAAATGTATCCAAGTCTTTCCCTTGCCATCGACAAGTCCATTTATAATTACTGAGCATAAACACAAAGATCCCGCTAGCTAGCCAAGTAGCGATAAGCTGACAGGAAAAACAGCTAACAGCTTACAAACTCCTTTCCCTTCCCCTCCCCACCACAGACACCCTGTGAGGTAGATGGGGCTGAGAGAATTCTGACTGAAACTCCTCTCTTTTAAAGAACAGCTCTTATCAGAACTACGGCTTACCCAAGGTCACCCAGCCAGGTGCAAGTGGAGGAGTGGGGAATCAAACCCGATTCTCCCAGATTAGAGTCACTACACCAAACTGGCTTTCCCAAGGGAGGGAAAAAAGGCATTTTAAACATGCCTGGGCAAGAAGGCATTTTAACATGCCTCCTTTCCCTCTGGTGGTGTATATCAGACCCTAAAATATTCAGGAATACTGAATATTTTTCCCAGTCCAAATACTTTAACAGTATTGGACTGGGGAAATTCCGCATTTACCGATATTTTTCAGGTCTGATTTACTAGTAGCCGAAAAATACCGGCATTTTTTTTTTGCACATCCCTATTTCCCAGTGGCGCCATGATTGCTGGTTCTATTATTGTTGAAAAATTGTAATCAAATTTTGTTTGTGCTCCGGTCTTAACTAATAAAATCTTTACTCATGAGAATAGCAGGATTCTCAGATTCTAATCATTGCACTGCATTACTGCTAGCCAGAGTCAGGCATGGGGTAGGGATATGGCATTTAAAAAAGTTAATTTAAAATTTAAAAGAAAAAAAATCAAAGAACATAGGATAAGATCTAATGGACTTGTGAATGGGTCAAATTCACAAAGCAGATCTTTTCCTACTCTCCTTTTTCTCTGTACTAGCCAAAAAGCTGCTTGTGAGCATCACTGACCCTCCTGAACATTTGTGATGCAGCCAAGAGATGGGGGAATGCAGATTGAGAAGAAATAAACAGAAATCCTCATCTTCCCCCTTGACTGACGTCTTGTACAAATTAGGGGTATACAAAGAAAATTGTATTTTTCAGGTTCGGGAATACTGATCCTGAAAAATATAGGTATTTTCTGATATTCCTGAATCCCAATATTGCTATGGCTTTGGGATTCAGGAATTTTTAGGAAAACCTGAAATTTCTCGGCTCCATTATATCCTATGGGTACCAAAAGCTTTTTTTGGAGTCAGCTATACCAGTAGCCGAATACAGATCTCTGATCTGATTTGGCTTAGAAATACCTGAAAAATACTGGTAAGGTATTTTTCTGGCTTGGATAAACCAAACCCCTAGTACAAATACAGTAATGCTTGCACAACTGATTTTCTATTAGTTTCCCCCCTTTTTTGCTGCAGCCTCTTGAACCATGTCCCACTTGGCTACATAGTTTTTGGGAGGCTTCAGGGAGTTGTAGGGGGAAGGGAGAGAGATTTGTTCTTTGAAATATGTACTAGTCACCATTCACTGCATCACACTTTACCTAACATACAGCATCAAAATTATGAACAACTTTCAGTGGGTATTCCTTGGATGATTGTGTGACATAAGATGCTACATTGAGCAAAATTAGCACAACAAAAATAACAAAATCTAGAAACTTTGTACTGGTGAAATTAAGTAAAAAACATACACAATATTATTTACATATATGTGTTAGAGAATGAACTTGATATTTGCTTTATGGACTTATATTTATTGCTACACACAATGGACTGTGTACACACACACATAGGCTCAGAGAACTGTACATTCCAAGTCACCTGTTGTGATGCAACACATAGAAGGTGCCTGCACAAGCCTTACACGTGTGAATAAGGTTTCAGTTACACAGTTACCAGCCTGGTGAAGAAGCACACACCTCCATTATTGTGAGCAGTAAGAAACAACAGCTTGGAGAAGAGACAGCCCCCATTGCAGAAATAGTTGTAGTCACGTACTACCCATCACTGCTTTGTTCCTGCATTGGTATTTCCTGCCAAATGGACATTTGGTTTACAATGGAATGGCCAGCTTCATCTACACTACAATGGAGCATCCTGACACCAAGGTTTTCACACCTGCCCAGATGCCCTTCTTTGAGTAAGGTATTGGATTTCAATATTGGCCACTCCTGATAGGTAACCTCCCACTCCTATAGGCAACCAATAGGATTAGTTTTCGGACGGACTAACAGGTAGGTAGGTCCACAGGTTGGAACAGTTACCTCTCACCTAAGGGACCCCCTATAAAAGGTAAGGACCATTCACCTGGCCCTTCCTAGCTAGCAACCCCCACAACAACCCCTGTCTGCTTTATACCCCCCTTGAGTCCCACTTGCTATCCCCAAACCCTTGCCTCTACTTTGATCTCTTGATCTGCAGTCAGGAGACCCACGCGTTCTGGCTGGTTCTAGTCGTGTGTGAATTCTCCCTAGATTTCTATTTCTTCCCATCTATTCTTCATTGGAACAACCAAGCTGCAAAGACAGATAACTATTGCCCATCATCACCCCCACCTGCTAATGCAACCGTGCTTACTTTAATACTATATTTCTAAGGAACTTGATTGAATGTGTGAGTGCATCAGTATTGTTTGTATGAGACTTATATTCTTTAAGTAAAAGACATTTATTTTAACAACACCAGCATCGACTCCTTCTCTGGTAACCCTTGGTGGGAACAGGACCTTGGTATAGTTGGCAAGAACCAGTTTATAAATTGCCAATTGGTGTAAATAAAGCAATTCGGCTAACATATTATAGATAAATATATAGACACACATTATACATACACATTATATGTGTTCACCTTCATTATATGTGTTCACCTACAATACAATATTTGTGAGAATGATTAAATATCCACTATTATAAACTTACATGCTATTATGTTTCCATATCTATTCTTTGTTCTGTTTTGGTCCTTTTTTGCCACATCCCAAGAAGCAGACTGCCCTTCAAAGAAGCTCTTTTTAAAGGAAAAAAAGACATCATTTAATTAATATTCCTTTTTTAACTCATCTTTTTCTAGAAAAGTACATATAAAGATTGTAAAATTAAAAACAAACCAACCAACCAGTAAAAGTATGAATAACATACTCCTCGGGAGACTTTTAAAAAATGATACAAGATAGGTTCCCACTAATGGGCAAAAGTGACTTGTTGCCAAAACAGTGTTTTCTGAGTGAGCTATCACAGAATGTTCCACAGAATACAGGTGGGGCATCGCATGACTTGAGAGAGTGAAAACAGTTGTTTGTATTTATTGGCAAGAAAGTTTTTTCTTGTTTTTGCCTCACTAATCATTAATGAATGCTAACAGAAAATATAAATAATAACAATAATTATTCCTGTGAGCTGCCTCTGTCAAAGATATCAGTTGTGTACAAATGAGAAGGAATCACTGGCCATGTATCTGAATTTGAAATAAGGGTTTAGCAAAGGACTTTGCACATTTTCCCTATATGGCAAGAGCCACAAAATTAGATGAAGTGTAAGAAAATTGGATGGGTTTCACCACAATTTCAAATCCTTGGTTAAAGAAAGCTCTTGTTATCCATAGTAAAGGTAAAGGTTTCCCTTGCTCTAAAGCCAATCGAATCCGACTCTAGGGATGCAGTGCTCATCTCCATTTCCAAGCCGAAGAGCCAGTGCTGTCCAAAGACATTTCCGTGGTCATGTAGCCAGCATGACTAGACGCCAAGGTACACGGAACGCTGTTACCTTCCCACCAAAGCAGTACCTATTTATCTACTTGCAAGTTCTTGCTTTCGAACGGCTAGGTTGGCAGGAGCTGGGACCAGAGATGGGAGCTCACTCCGTCATGTGGCACTCGGGGCTCAAACTGCTGAACTACTGACCTTCCGGCCTGCAGTTCAGCGTCTTAACCACTTGAGCCACCACAGCCCCCTTGTTATCCATAGTCATAGTTAATACTTGTGCCAACTGACTGCTTCATAGGGCTAAGTGTGCAGTTTGTTCCAGGGATGGGAGAAAAGGGTAATTCAGGCTCCTGAGAATGTCTCCCTGTATGCTAATTGCAGTTTGCAGGCAGGTCCTGCTACAGTCTGCACTGGCCTCCTCTGACTTTTTTGTCCTTTGTAATGGAGCCTGAAGCAATGGGACTCATTGGTTCACTTTGAGATTATTTCATTAACTAATGTCTTATTGAGAAGCTATCCTTTTAAAATATTAATCCCATTAAACATTCATTTTAATCTTCTTGTAATTAAGAACCCTCAACGCAAACAAGAATCTCTACTCTCAAAGGGCCTCTCTGTCGTAAGTCACTTTAAAAAGGGAACTGCTGACATTTTTACCTCATATTCTTCTTTAAAACCATAGCTGTCAGATGTTTTCATGAGGTTAATATGCTGCAGCAAATCAGCCACTCTGATAGCAGGATGCAGTTGGCCTGTCTGGTAAGGGGACTCCGTTCCTTCACAGAGGTACCGAGGCACATCTAACAGGCGACTTGACTCTGCTGTCGCACTGTGGTTTTCATCTGCGGTTATAAGATCCCAGAGAATACAGTAAAGTTCAATAATAGCGAAACTTAAAAATATATGAGCTACAATCTGGTTTTAAATTAGCTCACTGCAGAACTTTGCAAAGGTTTGGGTGCTATCATTTCCCATATAACAAGAAGCATGTAGGCAACAATTGTATTTTAACTGCATATATGTTTTTAAAAACACTGCTCCTTACAAACACTTTGTAAGAAGATTCAAGTTTATTCAGCTACAGCACACAGTTGAAAACTCCTAATTCTTCTCAGTTTGAACTGGCTTTCTTAGTCAACACGAGTAACCTGAAAAAGTTCATTGTCCAACCCATTTCGAACATAGCTTGACTGGATCTGCAGGATGTATTGTATTATTACAATCTCCACAGAATCCACTATTTTTTACGATTATGTAATAGCTTTCCATTAATCATGGACTTTGGAACCAACTGGCTGCTTCAGGGTCTTTGAAGCATTGTACAGGTTCACTTATCTACGTACACATGACCATGAAATGCTTCCAGCAAAGCTGACAACCTTTGTTTGGACCTAGGACCACCTTATACATTACGACTGTCAAAACAACTGATGTACCTTTGGAGATATGTGGAGGACATTCCTTGATCATCTGGTGAACCATTGGATACAAACAGCTCACCCTTAGTGGCCACATGGAACAATTTAAACTGGCCTCCATGTGGGATGACCACAAGTTGATAGTATGCAAACACTAGAAGTACACATTCTGTTCTTAGGGACATGCTCCATAATTAAGAATGAAGGATTTTAAAGATAGTAGACGACGGGTGTAACCAGTGTTCCCTCTAAGCTGAGTTTGTGTGAGCCAGCTCACAGTTTTTTAGCCTCCAGCTCACACATTTTTGTCCCAGCTCAGGAAGGATGGCTCCAGAGCAAACTAATTCATGCAGCAGCCAAATCACTCGCTCACAACTTTAATGCCAGAAGCTCGCAAAGTAGAATGTTTGCTCACAAGACTCCACAGCTTAGAGGGCACATTGGTTGTAACTGTCATGCCCTGATTGTGCACTTCTAAAGGCATCTCAGTGTCCACTATTGTGTGTGTGTGAAATATAAGTTGTGTAAAATTTATTAACATGAAAAAGTAAAATGTTAACCAACAAATTAATGTAACTCTAATACGACAGTTGTATACAATACAGTATGAGCACAGCTACTCTGTAATGGCATCACAGATTCCACTGAAGTACCTTTGTTTCACCATTCAAGCACCACTGGCAGTGGAAAGTGTCATCAAGCTGCAGATTACTTTTGGTAAACTCATAGGGTTTTCAAGGCAAGAGATGAACAGAGGTGGTTTGCCATTGCCTGTCTCTGTAGCAGTTCTGGACTTCCTTAGCAGTCTCCCATCCAGTTACTAACCATGTCTGACCCTTCTTAGCTTTCGAGATCTGACAAGATCAGGCTAGCCTGGGCCATCAAGCACAACTACTGATTTTATATCAAGGGAAGTCCTGCTTTATTTAAATAAGCACATGTTCCAAAATAATTACTAGCCAGATTGATGTTGTCAGGGTGAATACTAGAACAGACCTTACCAGCATGATTGAGGTAAAACCTAGTTGCTTTCTGACCAGAGATACTCTGATCAACATCATTTCAGGAGAGCAGAAAAGAAGAGAAATACAGATAGTCCTATTGCACATGACAGACATTTGAAGTCAAAAGGTCTATATACTATAAGCTTGCCAACTCCTCCGCTAGGGCGGGGGTCCCCAGATTGGAGATCCCCCACCCCCACTTTTTAAGAATTGGCCAGCGGGGGACGCTCTAGCATTAGCCATAGAGACGAAAGCTAGAGCGCCCCAGATCTCTGACCGTTGGCGGGCACGTCTGGCTTCAAAGAGTGTAGTCCACTACTCGCCTTGCCTCCTTAGCTCCGCCCGCTCCCGGAATCCCTCATTTGGCAGGCGATCTGCTTGTTGGCCGCCTGCATTCCTCCCAAGCCAACGCTCGCAGACCGAGGCCAAGCAGCAGGCGACATCCCCTCGTCCCGGGCTCATGTGGCAACGACACATGCTGTGGTTTTTGGAGCCGTCATAGTCTGGGTGCACCCTCACTGGCACCGCCAGGAAGAGCTGGGACTGGAGGTCGTCCAACGTGCCCATCCTGGCCATGCAGCATGCTCTCCGGGTGGGCGGGTGGTGGTGGTGGGGATTACCAGACAAGTGTTCCCTCTAAGGTAAATGAGTTCAGTGCGCTGTGTGTTTGGCTGGCCACTGCCTTGCATGGCTCTGGGCAGTGGCGGGCTTCCCTCTCTGCAGCCAAGGTCAGCTAGCAAGGTGGTGGGGTGGCTCCTCCTCACTGAGCGCCACTCCCACCCCCCGTGCTGGCGTGCCAGAAGAAAGACGTGGATGCAGTGCTGGAGCGCTCCAAGGCAGCTTCGGCTATGTCACTGGGCCCGCCAGCCCAGCCTCCCGAGAGCAGCAAGGGAAGGGAGAAAGAGCGCCCGCTGAAAGGAAGGGAACTGCTAGGCCAGCCCACAAGCCCTGGGCCCCCACCCAACAGCTGCTCTGCAAATGCACCCAGGAGGGAGGGAGGGGCCAGCCAGAGCTTCCCCTGCCCACTTCAGCACTCCACCTAGCAGACGAAGGCACACCTTTAACTGTCTGGTGACTGGGATGTACGCCCTTTGTCCAGTCTCCCTTCTCAAGCCTTGTTGCAGCGAATCCTGTCTTTCTCCGCTGGGCGCCCCCTTCCCCTGTAAGCTTTTTCTGGATCTCTTCCACTCCTCCGTTTTAGGAAGGGGTGGCTGCTCTTGGGACCTTCTGAGAACTTTCTCGCTCCAGTCTCAGGCTGCAACCTGCCTCCCCCCCCCCCAGCCCTTGCCCTCAAATTGTCATTAACAAAAAACAGAAGGGTCGGGTGTCTAGGGTTATTTTCTGTGCAGGTAAGGAGAGCACTGGAGGCAAGTTGGCTGGTGAATTTTAATCTTCCATCCAAAGCACGCCATGGAGTGGGGACAGGGCTGCCAGGTCTGGGTTGGAGGTACTTGGAGATTTTGGGGGTAGAGCCTCGGGAGGGAGGGGTTTGGGGAGGGGGTGAGATTTCAAAGAGATACCAAACAGTCCATCCTTCAAAGCATCCATTTTCTCCAGGGGAACTGATCTCTGTCATTTGGAGATCAGTTCTAATTTTGGGAGATCTCCTGGCCCCACCTGGAGGTTGGCAGTCCCGTTTACTCCTCCAACTTCTGGACCTTCAATGTTCATGCCCCCCAGGTTACAGTCCCATAGTGACTTTTCTTCCCCCCCCCAACTTTAATTATTCATTTTAAGGGGTCACTGTCAGCCATGCCTTGGGTCATTTCTACTTC